AGAAATTACTATTGGTTTATGAAATAGGTCGTAATGCATAGTTGAGCCAAAAATAGATTTAAGGACAGGATGTGAATTTAAAAGTGGGAGAAAGTATTTCGATTATAATAATTAATTAGGATAACATAAAAAGATTAATAGAAGCTCTCTATGTTACCTATATATATGTAACAATATATATATGCAACACAAACACATATGTATGTATGCGTGTGTGTGTCTGTATATATGTATATGAACTTTCAAAAATAGGAAGGAAAATTTTTTATTAGTGTGCAGATCCTAATAAAATTATTGTGGTTAAATGAATGGGAAAACATAGTTAAATAATAAAATATTTCGCTAAGGAATCTTAGCTTTTTCAAAATAGTTACTAAGAATCTTTCAGTTTCCGCAAATCATAAAAAGATCTCCAAACCATTATTATTACCATTTATATTCAATTAATGAACAGAGCAATACATATCTTCATCATAGCAGTAGTATACTCTGAGGTCTACTTTTTATAGTCCCAAATCTTTTATTTAAGTTCTTCAATTGATATAAAATATTTCCATATTATATCAGCAACATAATCAGTTATATAATTACAAAAGATTTCCATTCATAAAACTTTCATTTCTATTAAGTATTTGTAACTAACTTGTGTATGTACCAAAGCGATCAATCAATGATCACGAATAATCACTTAATTATGTATAATTTGTCTAAAGTAAGAACTCCCCTAGCCATTCATCTGGACCCCTGGCAGTGACTATGGAAACGAGGTATAACTATTTCAAGTAGGGGTGTGGGGTCATTGCTTAGAACAGGTTGTGGATCAGATTCGAGAGAGGAGTTTTTCATTCTGTCTATTTCCTTCTGTTAGCCACAGAATGAAGAAATGCTCCCCTCCTTGAAATGCGTCATTACTGTTTCCATAGCAGCATACTTTGTGGTGGGGGGAGTTCTTACCATAGACAAACTACAGTTAACTACATTTGTAACAAATTAGTTTACTACCAAGAAAAACCACACAAAATCTTATTAAAATATTAATTCACCTTTCCATAATGCATTAGCAATTAACTTGTGTAAGTTGGGATGCCCAAAAGAATCTGTACAACTATTTTTGCTGGACCACTTCAAAGCTGTTGTTAAGAAGTTAGATCTTTCAGGAGAGTCTGGCAACATCATTGAAAACAGAGTGGCTAATTTTTCTAATGATGGAAGGAAAAAAAAAGATTATAATTAAGTTTAATAATGATATCCTACAAAATCAATAATTCTTCTTACCCATATATTCATCACAAACAGCTACTTCAGATTCATTTAATACATTGATTAAAAGGATTGCTAAATCAGCTCCACTATTGTGCTGAAATATAAGAATATATTTCTATAACAGCAAAATTCAATTTGTATTACAATGCATACTATTTTAAAAGGTTTTCCATTAAAGTGCTTTATATTCTAGTAACTATCCCCCCTCACTTAAAATGCATTATCAAACTTACATTTTCCATGGAAAATCACGAGAGAAAAGCATTACAGACCTCAGAAATTCAAAACTCCTGAGAATTTCTGTGACCACCGGATAGTATAATAATATNTCAGGGGTAGCAGCAAAGTTTTTTAAAATTTTAGGGTAATTTTAGGAACTTTTTTCAAAAAAGTTTAGGTAAATTTTAGGGGTAATATATGATTTTGCTAGGATAAAAACATATCACACGGTAGTTTAATACATAACAGAAGATTATTACAATTCATCCACACATATCGTAAATAATTGTAAGCCATAAAATAAAGCTCTGAAATTTATTAAGTCAAGAATGAAATCTCTAAGGTGTAAAAATGAAATTTCAACTTTACATATTACCTATCAGAAATTAAGTGCATAATTCAGGAACAGGCAAAAGTGAGAATAAATCAAGAGAAAAAATAAATTAACACCAACTTGGATTTTTATTTAATTTTTACCTTCTTAATCAAAACTTTATTATTACCCTTTACCTTACTTTATTAACCCACTGACGGTTCTGCACGTAAAAAGTCGCATTTTAACCTGCAGTCTTCTCTGCATAGCAAAACCGGTTTTCCCATGATAACTGATAGGGGAACTGTGTGTAGGGGAGAAACATTCTCCCAATTTTGCCCATTTCCTTAACCGCCAGTGGGTTAAGAAAAACTATTGTGCGATATTATTAGATTTCAAATCAGCAATTTATATTAGAAGTTAGAGAAAAACAAATTAATCATGATCATTTTTCTAATATATTCTTGATATGATTTGTGAGATTCTTTTACTGCCCTCAATAATGTTGTGGTGATCTTCAACACTCCTCCATAATTTCGAATGGTATCTTTGATTAGTTCATGGTGACTCACATTAAGCATTGCTTTATTTATCGAAAAACCTCTCTCAGGATTAGAATTCCCATGTGGCAAAATTAAAACAATTTTAATTAATGTAGTTAGATTATTGCTTTTTTTATCTATATTTAGCCTATAACTCTAATTTTTCAGGAACACCAACAAAATTTTATCAGATTTTTAGGAATTTTAGGGTTTGCACATAGTTTTAGGAATTTTATGAATTTTAGGGGGAATGCGACCCCTGCTTTTGCTATTCATTGGAAAAATAAAAAAAGAATGTACAGACAAATCCCCCTTCAGCGAAATCCGAAATAGTGAAAATTTCAATGTAACGAATAATTTCCAAATCCTCAAATGAATCTCCATAGAAACAATTAATTAAAAATACCAATATTTTAAAATTCGTAATCCAATTTAATGAAGGTGAAAATAAGCAACAACTTTTATGATCAAAATACTTTTCTATTCTTCAAAAGTACACAGTGATCTCAGCATTCAAACATTTTTTGCATCTTCAAGATAAAAAGTTTCGGACATTGAAAGGGACACGTACGTCAAAAAAGACGTATCACTCGGAAGGGACTACCCTGAAAAGACTAAACACCTTACATTTAATTTAATAAGTTATTCACTATTTCACTATATTTTGATTTCCATTATTTTTAGCACATTAGCTCGTTAATTCTAGAATTATGTAAAATTAATTTTTACATATACTTTCTATTTTTACATTTTCTTTCAACTATATACTTTCCAAAAATATTTTTTTAAAAAGTATTACTGTACATTGAATATTATACTCAGAGAATTTTCTCCACTTCTGCTTTCATGTTACGTCCTCGAGGAAAATTCGCAATAAATCATGACGATAATATATTATCTGATAAGTAAACTACAGTAAAACCTCGCTACAACAATATTT